CCGGGGAGGGCTGAGGGCCGGCCCGCCTCCCCCCCCGTGCCCTGCCCATGCCGGGAAGGGATGAGGGGCCACCTCCGGAGTGCGCTGGGGCGTGCAAGGAGAGGGGCGGTGCGCTGTCCGCGCTCTGATTGGTGGCTGCCGCTGTCACTCAGGGTAGGACGGAGAGGGCTTGGCTTCTGTGCTGTAGCCCCGCCCCCCCCGCGGCACTGATTGGTCACCCGGCGGGAGCTGCGGGGCCGGAGCGGGTGTGTTGGTCCCTCCTCCCGGGTTGTCCCGGTTCCTGATGCCGCCTTGGAGCCCTAGAAGGGATAGTGCTGCCCCAGCTTGAGGGCACGAGGTGAGGGTTGAGGGCTTTGCCCTGTCCAGCCGCCCCCAAGAGTAGAGCAGCGCCCAGCGCTGCGGAGGTGCTTGGCGGGGAGCGGGGCACTGTGAGCGCCTCCCTCCTCTTCAAGAGGCGGAGACGCACCGAGACTCGGCAGAGCCCGGGTGTCTGCAGGGAGCAAAGATCCCAGCTCTGGGAGATAGATGGGAGCTGAAGCCATGAACTGCCCCTCCAGCAGTGCCCGTGATGCAGGAGCTCCATGGACTGTGAGGACGCAGAGGACAGGGACACAGAGGTCTGTGGCTCCAGGTCTGCCTGGAGAACGGTTCCCTGGGCAGCTGGGACAGTGAGGGCAGCCCTGGGTAGTGCAGCCTCCCCTTTGGCGGTGCCTTCAGCGTCTCAGAGCCCAGGCATTCCCAGGCCCTTGGTAGGAATCATTAACTCTGCTTCACCAATGTTATTTGTAGGGCCTGCTTGTGGGGAACATCTGGCCGAGGGCTTTGCCCTGGGAAGTGTCTGTACTGATCAGGGCTGGCCACCTCTGGAGCAGCCTGACTGCTCTCGTTTAACACAGCACTTGGCCTGGCTTTCCTCTGCACCTTCTCACCATTTGCACATAAAACACCAAGGGGAACAACTGCTTTCCTTGGTGTCCAGCTGTGTTCCTTGGTGTCTGTTTTCCAAGCATGGAGGAGAATGGGTGAGTCTGAGTCACAGCCAGCCAGGGTGATGGTGGAGAAGGTAGTGAGGAAAATAACAGAAAGCTGCAGAGCTGGTACAAAGCTTGAAACAGACCTAGGGTTAAAGGTCTCCTGCCTTATGAGAGAATGAGAGGAATTTCCTCAGGACAGGTCAGTGTTAATGTATTCCAGCCCAGCAGAAGCTCAATGACTGCCCTGAGAGTGCATAGTTGTCAGCCTTCCCACCCCATTGCCATATGCGTGTGTGGGACTAACAAGTTTTAGAGACGAATGACAGTCATAACAAATCCCAGTGCATAAAGAGATTAATTCTACTGTTCAAGATTAAGGTCTTTAGTATGGATAATTACAAGCAATCCTTCATCAGGACAAGCTGCCTTCACTCTTGCCTGGTGACATTTACAAGCCCCTGCAAATTCTTTGGTTCTTAGGCTATTTTGAGAGGTTCATCTTGGTTGTGAGTCTCACTAAGTTTCTGGTGGAAAATGACTGGAGGAGATGGCTGCCTATTCTGTGTTTAGGACAAAGAAGTAGCTTGGTCTACTGCTGTAAAAATTCAACTTTTTTTTCCTGAAGTCTGCATTTCCTGTGAATCAAAAGGGGCTCCTATCTCATGTGTTGC